TATATGTGCGCCAGGCGCGTCGCAGCGTAACAGTGTTTCGTGAGATATCGCGAAGCCTGTTACGCGAGACGTGGTCTGGCGTACATATAGCTAGTTAATTCCTTCAGTGTATTATCCCCTTAAGTGACATCTATTTGCTATTGTTTCAGGAGCATGCCGTATGTGCCGTGTCAAGAGCCCAGTCACCTAGCATGCGGGCACGTCTTCTGTAGGGTCTGCATCGAGGAGTGGAAGAAAATTAATCCTACGTGCCGTTTGCCTACAGCGAGCGTAAGTATACAGTGGGGGCTGTCAGACAGCCCTATGCAAAACCCGCCCAGTACGTGTAAACATCTAACGTCAGTGTCTAGAAGCGCCTGCGGCTCGCAGCACACCTGCTTATGACCATTTCGTTTTTGTTTAGGTCGAGGAGGATAGCCAACAGGAAGCGCGGGAGAATGTCGGAAACATGCGTGCCGGAACGTCGTGCTCCTCCGCACCGCAGCCCAACCCGCCGTCCGTCTGTCGGGCGCTTCCGTATTGAGAGAGAGTGTGATCCGAGCTGCGTCGGCTGGATACCTCTATCTCTTTATGCAACATAACCGAGCTCTCGCCTTAAGCTCCAAAGAGAAAGTGGATGTATGTATACGTGCTCGATAAGGGAAATTATTTTGACGACGCAGAGCCCGAGCGGAAGCACGGCATAGATTTTCCGCGTAAGGGTGACAAACTGGCGGTGCTTGGTCGCACCGCTCAAGAAGTCTACCGACGCAAGCCCGAAGATCTTATTACCGATTCCTGCTTTGAGTTTTGCGAAGATGACATCGGTTGCTTCTTCCCGAAGCACGTGTTTGATACTGCCGAGTTTACTTATGCCGGTAACCGGGATGGTTTCTTACGCACTTATGTCGCGACACTCGGCTTACACCACAGAGGAGGAGAAGAAGAGCGCATTACAGCGGCCACAACCGTCACAATGCGACTTGGATTTCTCCTACCCGAACTACCGGCTGTTACACACTGCGGACTCAGCATCGGCTTAGAGTTTGAGCGAGAGTGCGCGGAAAACCCCTTATTCATGCGGCACCACCGTGTGAATCCACGGACCCGGACACCGACCATGAGGTAGCTCGTGAGAGTAGAACCCTGCAGCAGAAGTTTCATGTCCCTAACTTTTAGAGTAATAAAGTCTAGACAAGTGGTGCGAGTATGTCAATTTTTGGGCCCGGAAGGCTTGTTCCTCTATACCCTCTTCTTAACTCGTCTCGGGTGTCAGCCCCGCAGGCCTTGCTATGTGTGCGCCAGACGCGTCGCAGCGTAGCCGTGTTTCGTGAGATATCGTGAAGCCTGTTGCGCGAGACGTGGTCTGGCGTACAAATGGCTACTTATCAATAGAGATGAGCGAACAGCCCGGTTCGTATTTGAACGGACTCGAACTAATTTGGTGTAAAACTCTTCGAACGAACACTCATTTTTTTCTTCGAACGAACCGGACTGAACAGTTTAATGTTCAAATTCGATCCAAAACTCTAGGAATTTGTGTTTTGCTAATAAGTTACAAAAGCTCTTTATGGTGGATTACAATAGTTCCGTTGACGTTTAAAATTGTATTTATTTACTAGCCTGCCATTGCCCCCTTAATTAAGACCATTCTTGACGCGTCTTTCTGAAATATACTTGAATTCTGTTCGCCTACGAACTTCTGTTCGAGAAGTGTTGGAACAGTTCGAATCCGAACACCTCATGTTCGTGTTCGAGCGATCACGAACAGCTCGATGTTCGAGTTCGATCGATTTCGAACTGTTCGCTCATCTCTAATTACTAGCTATATGTACGCCAGACCACGTCTCGCGTAACAGGCTTCGCGATATCTCACGAAACACTGTTACGCTGCGACGCGCCTGGCGCACATATAGCTAGGCCTGCGGCGCTGACAACCGAGACGAGGTAGGAGTGTTAATACAATTTTTTCGAAGTGAAGTGTTTTTAACGATTTAATCGACCATTTTATCATTTTCACCTCATAGCACCTAAACGGTACAAGATAGAGCCAAACAGACGAAATTTTCGCCCAGAGGGCTCTACTTTGACGGTTTACCCCTTAGGAACCCTTAAAAAATATTTGATA